CAAGAGGCCACTTCACTCCTGTAGTGGTCACTGTGCTGTAGCAGGGCTTCCCAAGGTTCTTTCTTCCTCTAGGGGATCCCAGCATCTCTGTGTATTTTCTCTGCCTCCTCCTGTGAGAACAGTGGTTCATTCACTTCCTTGTTTAAAAACATGTATGATATGTGAGCCGACCAGAAGGAAGAAGCCTGGAAAGGAAAGCCCCCAGCTTGCCCAGCTCTAGGCAGTACCTCCATTCTCATGGACCCCACTGCTGACACTTGCCCCCATCCCTGCTGGAATGAGAGCTCACATAGCTCATTGTGACCCTCTCCTCCCATGAGTGTGAATTCTCCCGCTTGTCAAGTGAGACTGTTGTTAGGACTCTATCCCAGCTCTAGAATGCCACAGCAAGGATTTTTAACCACTGTACTTCCTTGTGTGAAATGGATGTCGGGCCCTTTGGACCCACGCTGTCGATGAAGCTGGGAAAATTAAATGCCATTTGCAAAATGGAAATTTCTCCAGCAGGAAAGGGTTTTGAAATAGTCCCTCAAATGTATTGTTTCTCTACCCTCCACAAATATTTACATCTGTTTAAGCATATGCTCTTCCTGGCTTTGTTTCAAGCTTTGCATAAATGACTTTATTTAAATTTTCCTAGAGCCTTCTGAGTAGGCATTGTTATTATCCCCACAGCACAGAAGGTTGAATAGCTTACGCAAGGCCATGCAGCTAAAGCTGAGATCCAAACCTAGCTTGACTGGGAAGCATTTATTCTGTATTCAGTGACTATTTATTATAAATTTTGATACTGTTTGGGGCATTGTGAGATATAGATGTGTATATACTAAATATATATCATATATAAATTTTGAAAGCTATCTACATAGCTTCAGTGGTGAAGGTGTAGCTCAAGCAGTAGAGCACTTGCTTGGAAAGCTCAAAGCTCTGAATTTAAACCATAGTAGCCCCTCAAAAAATAAGCTCATTTAGAAAAATAGCTTCAAAATGGTTTAAATATGTAAAATGGAAAGCCCCTCCATATATATATATATATATATATATATATATGTATATATATATATGTATATATATATATGTATAGGTACATATATGTATAATGTATACATATGTGTATTTATATATCTTCATATATGTGTATATATCTTCTAAACTTGAGTGGAAATCTGTGTATTTAAAATCTACATAAACAACATTTTATGAAATTTGGGGGATGACATTTTGTAAATAACAGTTTGTAAATCTTGTAACTCTCATTAGGCAACAAGAAGCTAAGTGATATCCCAAGAATCAGAGAAAGCCTAAGGTGGTGCAGCTTCCTATAAACCCATCAATGGGAGTATTCTCTCACATAGACTTTCAACCTTTGCAAAGCAAACATTGTCTCCCTTCCACAGATGAGGACACCATAGCTTATAGATGAATAGTCCCAGTTCATATGCTGCCAAGGAGCAGAAGTGCATTCAAAGCAGGGGTTCCCTTGGGCTCAAAGACCAGACTTTCATAACTACTACCGTTGGTGCCCAATCTCCAGGTCCAGACTTTCATAACTACTACTGTTGGTGCCCAATCTCCAGGGCCATCTTTGTTTCCTGAATGTCACTTTGAGCACTACTTACACAAAACGAATCAAGGTGTGTTGTTCAGCCTCCCCAGAGCCTGGAGGCTGAAAGCAAGTGGAGTCTCTAGATAGTCACTCAGTGCCTCCCCAGCATTCCTGAGCCCATGCAGGAGTCCCCTACCACCAACTCTGCATCTAATTAGCATCTGCTTCACGTGCAAGTTCTGCTCCTTAGCTTCAGGTTTCTAAAGCACAGTTTCCTGATTGGTAAACAGGCCTGAGGCCCAAAGCTAGCTGTCCTTCTAGGAACAATCAACCAGGCGCCTGGACTGCTGGGTCCCCACTTAGACCAGAAAAGGCAGACTCTTCCCAGCATCTAGGTAGGAGCCACAGGACACCCCTGCATCAGAAATGTGAGTAGCAGGTGAATATAGACAATTGTAGATACAATCCCAGTGGCCCAGATGAAAAAGCTTCCAGAGTCTGCCTGTCTGTCTGTCTGTCTGTCTCTCTTTCTCTCTCTCTCTCTCTCTCTCTCTCATTTCTCATCAGCATCCCTGTTATCATTACCCCCTGATTCCTTTGCTCTGAAATCAGAGACTGCTTTTGCTTCTTAAGTGCATTAGGAAGTCAACTACTATGGTTAATGGTAGCTCCTACAAAAAGCCAGGGCGCTATTTACGTTACTTGTCAGGCAAAAAAAAAATTATCAAGAATTAAGTCCCAAGGTCCTATCCATGCCAGGACGCTCCCCGTGAGTTCCCCAGATAACAGAGTGATTTGATCCATATTACACTCATCTCCTCAGCTTTTGACCTTGGATAAGCAAACTGCCCAAGTTCCAAAGGCCTTTTCCCCATTCTCCCAGCCTGTAACACTGTAATATTTGTGTCATGCAATGATCTGCCAGAGTCAGAAAGTCCTGGTTCTGGGCCTGACTCCCTTCATGGCCTGGTTCATCTCCACAAAGCCTCTGCAAGCTCTTATACCTTCTTGGTTCAGAGAGGGAAAGCCACCCAGGTACAAGAAAGCTATTCTATCAGCAGTAGGCTTGATGAGTGTGGCCCTGGACCTCCAGGACCCCTAGGCACAGCCACTTTCAGAGCCCTGTGTCTCAGTTTCCCCTTACCAGTTGTGAAGTTGAACAGAGTCTAAGCTATTTTCAGAGCCCTGTGTCTGTGAAGTTATGAAGTTGAACAGAGTCCATGTGTCCCTCCAAATTCTCTACACTGATGAGACTAATATGACTTATAGAATGGTTTGAGAACCAGCTAGTTAGTAGATTTCTACCATCCTCCTTCAACTCAGCCTTCTCTCTCAAGTTTCTATAATACTTCTGATGCAAAACAAGAACTAGGCACTCTTGAGATTGCTTCTCAGAGAAACACCTCTCCCAGAACTGGACCTAAAGCAGGATGGCTTCATGAACACATGGTCTGTGCATAAGGCTCCATGCTCAGCAGGGTCGTATGCCTGGCTTAATGCTCTGAAGTCATGGTGTTAAGACTAACAGAGCAAGGAGTTCTCCACTTCCCATTGCACTGAGCCCGTGAATGATGTGGCTGGTCCTGCCAACAAACCTCCAAACAGGTTATGAAGCTTTCTCGTATCCACAGATGATTTGGATAAGGCAAAGGGGATCTGTCCTCCCTCTTCCAAAACATGAAGGCCTAGATACAACCGGAGTGGGAGACAGGATGCTGCACTGTGTAGAGCATGCCCCTTAGTTGGTGCTGCATGCAATCCTGTGCCTTGCAGACCTTGTACAAAGTCTCTCACCTGAAGAAGCCAGGTTTCCTTACCTGGAAGGTAGACAATTAATTCTCTCAGCTTGTTTCAAGATGAGCCATGCCCTCATACTCCAAAATACAAAGGAGTGACCAGGGGCCCCGAAGACTTCTGTAGCCCTAATGATATTCACTCAGCCAAAGGGGAACTTCGTAAGTTAATGAACAGGCAGGTACAAAGGATATCAGCAGGGCTATATCTAAGGATGTTATATTCTTTCCTAGCCTTTCTTCTTTTCTTCTCTCCTTTCCTCCCTCCCCTTAAGGGGCAGACAAAATGGTCACCAAAAACCAGTAAGAGAAAACATACTTCTTTCAGGATATTAAGCAAGGGGTAGGCTAACTGATTCTGCTTGGACTATATCCCCACTTCTGAACCAATCACAATCACCACAGTGATAGGGCACGTGCCCCCACTGGTGACCAAAGACAGGAGAATGTGACTACCAAGCCCAAGGTGATCAATGAGGGAAGAGACAATTTCCCCAAAGAATAGCAATGCCAGGCGGATTGAAGCTACCTATCCCCTAAGCTGTGTGTGGTTAACTGTTCATTTTCAATGACATTAACAATTATGAATGAAGGGAGAATGGAGTCAGGGTGGTTTGTGTAGTATCACTTAAGCCAGCCTTCCCTGGAGGAACTAAATCATAACTTACATATGTGTTGCCTCATGGAAGTAAGGAAAAGCAAAGAACTGAACCATGTTCAAAACTACTAGCTGCACGATTGCAATTTATCTCATAATCCTTAAATATTTAATATAAGGATACAGGTGGACCCGTTGCAACAATGAGAAGTACAAGTTGTCATGTCAAAAACGAACTTTACAACTTTGGTGGGGGGGAGAGGATTGGGGGGGGGCGGGGGGAGGATGGGAAGGGATGGGAAGGGTAAACAAAGGAGAGGCTGCAATGCTTGATAAGAAATGTACTCATTATCTTGCCCATGTAATTGTAACCCCTCTGTACAGTATTTTCACAATAAAAAAAAAAGAAATGATTTAAGTAAAAACAAGGTAGGCGAATGGAAAGAAAAATAATGTACAAATAATAATATTGATATGAATAACTGACACATTAACATATGTGTTATTCCAAAGACTAAAGTACTGAAAGAAAAAAAGATTAAAGCACTGGACATAGGCCAGTATGTAAACTGGGTGTTTCTCCTCTATGAGCACTGGAAGCCAACAGCTACACTTTGGTTGGTTCATATAGTATCTCTGACAAGCTAAATAAATTTCTGCCTTGTCTGAATGGCAAAGATCCAAGCCAGGGTCACACTGTGAAAGCAGGGAACCAGCCCTTGAGGACATTGGCCTACTGTATTAGGCTCTGGTTTAGAAATAGACCCACAAAGATGGGGATGACATGAAAATCACCTTTCACAGATTTGGCCAGGCCAATTGTCCTTGGGAACAGAAGAAACTATTCTACTGTGGTTACCCAAGGCCAGCAGGCTCCAAGGAGTACCAGCCATCTCTCTGGGGCCAGAGCCTCCCCAGCTGATTTCCACACTCACCCACATACAAAGTGACAGCCAGTCCTTTGTTGGTCTGCCTGCTTAGTCTTCCAATTAGCCACCAATTAGAAAGAGATAATTTAAGCATGACTGTATTATCTATTCACCTTTTGGATTATTTCTTCCAGGCCAAAGAAAAAAGTCATCAGGGTTTTGATGCGGATCGAGATGCCAAAAAACTGTATAAAGCCTGCAAAGGAATGGGTATGGAAAAACATTTCACTTGCTAAGTTATTTTTGAAGTTGATTAAACTTGATTTCATGATCAGCTTATTAGATGCATTCCAAGTCTGACCCATTGATACTCAAGAGCTCTTTATTCCAAGTCCCAAAGTTATCATCAGATCTTATTATCTGGAGCAATAACATAACAGAAGCTAGATTTTTGTGACATTTAATTTGACTTTGCAGTGAGGGAAATTTCCTGAGAAGTACAGTTCCTACTGTCCTTATCTAAATTCTCAGACCCCTTTTAGGAAAGATGGTGGGGGAGTGAGTGTGATGTGAGTGGGGGTGGGTGATGATGAGTGGGTGAAAACTCCATCTAGAACTAAATCAAATGAGGGCAAAGAAGTGGCCAAGGTCAGTCATCCAAGGTCAAAACTGGAAAAAAAAAACCATAATCTATGACCATGAGTGGAGCCCTGGGCAAGAGATCATCAGGACCATGGTGGAATAAGGCAGATAGTGCCTTTTAATTACAAATATAGGACCAAGGTGGGAAGGTGGCTCAGTGGTCGAGTGCTTGCCTCACATGCATGAGGCCCTGGGTTAGATTCCTCAGCACCACATAAGCAGAAAAAGCCAGAAGATCTGAAGATCTGAGCTGAAGATCTGAGGGACAGTGCCCAGGCCCAGAGTTCAGGCCCCAAAACCAACAACAACAACAAAAATTATATGTACAGATATATGACCAAGTATGGCACAATGCCTGTTGTCCCTAACACTAGAGAGGTGGACACTGGAGGATCTCATTTCAAAGCCAGATCAGGCAAAAAGGAAGTAAGATTTTATCTTACTTCAAAACCATGCCAGGTGCTAGTAGCTTACACCTGTAATCCTAGCCTCTCGGGAGGCTGAGATCTGAGGATCACAGTTTGAAGCCATCCTGGGACAAAAGCAAAGTCTGTGAGACTCTGACCTCCAGTTAACTTCCAAAAACCCTGAAGTAGAGCTGTGGCGCAAGTGGTAGAGGGCCTTTAGCACAAAAGCTCAGGCCCTGAGTTCAAGCTTCAACCCCCCCCCCCCCCACACACACACATACACACACACAGATGTGGTAGCAAATACTTGTAGGATCTCTGAGTCTGAGGCCACCCCTGGGGAAAAAGGAGAGACATTATTTGGGAAAAACAAAACAACAGGCCATAGCAAAAAGATCTTGAGCACAATCAAGTGGCAGAGTACTTGCCTAGCAAACATGAGGCCACATAAGGCCCTAAGCACAACCCCTAGGAGCATTATAAAAAATAAAATAAAGTTTAAAAGAAAAAGAAAAAGAAAAATGGACCTGGAATCCAAGGAGACAACTGAGGAAGTAAGGTTCTAAATCTCAGAGTCAGAAGGAGGAAGAACCCAAACCACAGGTCAAAGAATTTACCTTGAACTGGAGGAAGGAGGGAAAAAGCAGATTGCGAGCTGAGCAGACAGATAGACCCATAGGTGTTGCTGGAGAAGAACTTAAAGGTGTTCTTCCTGGTAGCCTGCCATTGCTCAGTGAGTGGGAGGTGAGGTTGCTGCTGGAGATTGGTTTGACAATGGGGATGAAGCTGATGTGGAAGGGGAAATATTGAGGAAAATGCTGACTTCCCCTGAGAGCCCCTTTTGTTAGGGAGACAATGGTTTCTCATGGCTGCAACACACTTATTTTATCCCCTAGTCTGGAAGTAGGCTATGAGAACAGCAAGTGAGGGTAATTGAGGGGACCTGGAGGCCAAGGAACAGGTTAATCACGTTTCCTGGATCTTCTATTTTAATTTATTGAGAAACTTTCAAGTTTTTAGGTACTTTATATGTAAAATCTTACAAAGGTCTTATTCTCTTTTTGTCCTCATGAAAACCTATTTTTCAGATATGGAAATTAAGGTTCAGACAAGTTAACTAATTTCTCCAAGTCACAAAGTCAGTTAATGAAGAACACAGATTGATCCCATTCCTGTCACTTACTCTAAATACCTCAACTTTAGGGGCTACACAGCTGCTGTACAGAGGGGTGGAAATGAGCCTGGGATGGTATTGCCCACTGCCACTATCAGCTGAGAAAAGCCATTGGGGGTCCCCCGGGTATTCTATTGAAAAACTCATGGAATTATTCATACACCTCACATTTCAACCTTTTACAGTGTGTAATTCCATGAGTTTTAGTATATGCACCGAATGGTGCAACCATCCCTACGAGTTCCAGAACATTTTCATCACCTCTAAAAAAAAAAATCCCCAAACCTTTTAGCAGTCCCTCCATCCACTACCCTCCTGCCTCCAGCCCCAGGTAATCACTACCTATCTCTAAGGGTTTGTCTGCTCTGCTTACTTCATATAAACAGAACCATACAATTTGTGGCCTTTTATATCTGGCTGCTTTTACCTTGACATGATGTTTCTGCATAAATAAGCATTGGATTTTTACTTAGAAGGATATTAGTAGAGCTTCACTTTCCTAGGAACAGATGCTACAGTAAAATAAATACACCCATCAATTATGACTCTAGAGAAAAACTAAGATCCACAATGCAAATTCTAAGTAGATGTATCTTGTTTCCATATGAGGAATAGTCTGCCTTGACCAAGAACCAAAGTCCCAAAGGAGTTAAATCTGCTAGGAGATTTTCTGCTGGCAGAGGGATTTCTGCATTTTAAATATCCTAGAGTAAATCAGATATAGAGGAGAGGGAAAGAGAGAGGGAGAAGGGAAGGAAATGACAAGGGAGAGGAAAAATTAGAGGGAGAAGGGCTGGGAAGGAGCACACACCGGCAGTGAAAGGAAATGAACAGTTGCTTGGTTTGAGGGGTCATCAGAGGAACATTCAGAAATGTCTCCCCTCCTTGCCCACAGCCTCTGGTGCCTAATCTTGAATTGGGAAGTGAGCTGTTGGAGGCTGGCTTTTCGTTAAAGTGACAGGGTGCTTATGACGGAGTTTGGCTCAGTAGCTGTGGAGTCCCAGGGACTCTCCAAGCAGGCCAAGTGGGAAACTTTGTGGCAGCAATGCCACTTCCTGTGCCGCTCTCCAGAGCACTGTAGTTAAAAACACACCAGTTGAACCTATTCTGGATATCAGAATCACAGTGTTTTCCTTTCAGTTTTTTAATGTGGCCACAAAGTGGCCACCGGTTTCTTCTTGTTGTCATTGTTTTTTAATGTTTGTTTATTTGTTTGTTTTGGGTGCTGGTACTGGGGCTTGGTACTGTCCTTTAACTTTTTCACTCAAGGCTAGCCCTCTATTGCTTGAGCCACACCTCCACGTGCAACTTTGTTGGTTAATTATGATCCTTAGCAGTCCCCTAAATTGCTAGGATTACAGGCACGAGCCACCTGCATTGGCCCAACAGTGTTGGTTTCTGCATAGACCGCTTGCTGTATTCCCAGTGCCAAACTGGATTCACATATCCGTCATCCTGTTTAGTCCTCTTACAACACTTAGATGACAATCCAAGGTTAAATGTCTTTCAGAGGTTAAATATCTCTCCCAAGGTCATAGAGTTGCAGGTCATGAAAGTTGAACCATTGGGAACTAGGGTCCATCCAAAGATCTCTGATTTAGCTGATTGGCCTAGAATCCTACCCTCTATGGGTAAGTACAAATGGATGCAGAATGGTACTGTTGGCAACATTTGTCTCTAAGACTGTGCCAAAACACACCTAGGACTGTGGGCAGCTGCCATTCACAGATTCTGCCTCAGAACCTCTGGGGAACTTGGCTTTACTGATACTGTGACTTCAGATTTCAGAACTGTGAAAAAAGAAGCTATTGTGTGTAGCCACCAGGGTTGTGATCATTGATACAGCCGTCTCAGGAAATGAATCCAGAGAGCAAGGAAAGGCCATGATGGACACAGGCAGTCAAGATCCTCCCTGCTCGTGACTTCATTGGCATTTTCTGTGCCTCTACTTCCAAGGAGAAATGAGGAACAGGGTGCCAGTGGTATGGGTTTAGACAATGACCCTTGAACGGGGACCATAGCCTCCTGGGTTCAGCCAGGCCTATGGAGGGACAAGCCACACCTCTGTCACTGCCTCAGACTGTTTATTTGGCCCTGTGGTTTCTGCCCAGTGAAAACATCACCACTGGGTAGCCTCTTAGAAAATTGCTAGGGAAGCAAACCACAGAGGCCCCAAGCACTTCCCAGGCTGGAGATCACTCAGCTCTGACCTCTACTATGTAATTACTTCCCAGCCTCTAACGCACAGCCGGGCTTGAGGGTCTTTCTTGTCTCCATTTGAGAGTCTTTCCCAGAACCACTAGGGACTGGCCCCAGTGCCTCAAACCATTGTAAAATGTTTACAGGAACTTGGTCACCAGTACACATTGCTGATGTGCACTGCTGATGTGTTGTGAAATGCAGAATGAGGTCACCTTTCAGCAAATGGCTTCTTGATGAGATAGCAGAAACCACCCCCAAGGTCAACTTGAGACCTGCACTCTAAGGGCTTGTGAGAAATCATGGTGTCATTGTCACATCCTGCCCACACTTTCGGGTTGCTGACTAGCCATTCCAAGACCACTAGGTCCTCTGGTCTCTCTTGTCTAAAAACATTCTAGGAAGAAAAGTCTAGAAAAGAAAAGTCTTTTTCAGTGTTTTGGTTTAAAAAAAAATTAACTCAGTTTCCCTGATTACCCAGATGTGAGTAATACACATTGTATTATAACGCATGATGCATGTTGCATCAGAGTAGTGAGAGTGTACTGTTGATCCTTGCTGCATACAGGTCATCTGAGTATCACATCCAACTCAGGAATGCAGACGAGATTCCATCATAGTGGAATAGAAACTTTCCGTTCATTCCTTTGTACACATATCTATGTATATGTATGTATATGTGTGTGTATTCATTAATTCAATACATTCCCCAACAAATATTGGGAGCCTTCTATGTAGATGTGGCAGCAGACAAACACCTGCTCCTGTGGAGCTTGCAGTGTGTTGTGGCAGAGCCATCAAGAACAGACTACCTAAGGAATATAGAGGGAGGGCTTTTTGGCCTCGTTGTCTAGCCTGGTTAGTTGAGTCCTGAATCAGGAATGGAAAAGAAGTTGAAGATCAGAGATAAACGTGCCCTGGGTAGAAAGAATGGCTGTGGCAAAGACCCGCTGGTGAGCAGGGAAGTGCACTTGCTCTAGGAGCGGCAAGTCAATTCTGGAATGGATGGACAGGAACTTGTAAGAGACGTGCAGGGAGGAAAACTAGAAGGTACTGCGCAAAGTCCTATCAGCTCCCCTGAAGAGTCAAGACTCTATGCTACGTTGGAAGAACCCATGTGGAAAGGTTGGAAGCAGGAGGCTAATGGAGATGGAGTGCAGGACATCAGGAAGCCAGAATGAATCCCAGATTCCAATCTAGCCACTGTACCTCACGGCGGCAGGAAGGCTTCTTGCATGGATGTAAGTGTCACCCCTAGACCTGAGGTGCTTGGTCCCCGGATGTGGACAAGGTAGCCCAATGGCAAGAGATTCTGTTGAACTGTGAGGGGAAGGTTCAAGTGATATTAATGAGGAAAGGAAATGTTTTTAAGGTAAGATTTCTGGCATTCTGAGACTTAAAACTCAAGCACAGAAAAAGTAATAGGATTCATGTTACATAGCTCCCAGGAGGGTGGAGGGAATGGAGAGAAACAACAGCATTGGAATCTAACCAGAATGAGTGGGGCAATTAACCCTTGCTACTTTGTAAGTTAGCTCATCCTAGAATTTTCTCTTTCTCCAATTGGAATCAAACAACTGGGTCTTCTCTGGACTAAAGATGTAGGAATCATCCTTGAGATGAAGTGCGACAGAAATCTAATGTTTCTACCAGAGCCAGAACACAGCTTTCTAACCCCTGGGCAATGCCTCTCCTAAATCCACACTGCGTCTTTCCAAAGGATGGTTTGGAGGGCTAAGGTCAGAGTCCTATTCAGGCTAAAATATTAAAGCAAAATCAAGTGATCCTACCTGAAAAATAACTAAAAGAAAAAAGAGCTTGAGGCGTGGCTCAAGAGGTACGGCACCTTTCTAGCAAACATGAAGCCCTGAATTCAAATGCCAGTATCACCAAATATATACATACATATATATATACACATAACTGTATTTCAGATTATATAATATTCATATATACTAGACACTATATTATATATTATATGCATAATCATGTATCATACATACATTACACATTAAATTATACATATAATCATACATATAATAGTATATGGTATAATTATACATAGCATATATTATGTGTATATGTTGTATTGTATTCTATCTCATATATTCCTATTGTATAGTAGATAGTGTATATAATATATATGATACACATACTACTTATGTGTAATATATAATGTAATGTATATTATATTAATATGCATATTATATAATATATATGGTATCTATAGTTATATATAGTATGTATATCATATTATATTATATATACATATATACATACACACAGTTTTCTACATAAGACACTAAAGCTAGAGTGTCTATTCGGTCCCACTAGGGCCTCTGACCTCCTTTAAACTAGAGATATGGCTTCCTCAGAGTTGTTCTTCAGCATCTTGTCTCTTGTTCACTGTAGTTTTGTTTCTTTCCTTCACTTTAGGAACTGATGAAGCAGCCATTATTGAAGTCTTATCGAGCAGGACATCAGAGCAGAGGCAGCAAATAAAGCAGAAGTACAAGGCCAAGTATGGCAAGGTGATTGCAGGGTCCTCAAGCCGTGGTCTTGGCCTTCTCACTTCCTCTACAGTCCCCAAACAGCAGAGAACATCTTGAAAACTAGAGCCGAGCTAGTCCAGGAGAAAAACCTAAATCCCCATTTACAACTTGGAATTGACTTCAGAAAAAACTGAAATTGCTTTGCTAACTTCATAGCCTATAAAATCAAAACTCTTTAAGTCATTCTTTTGATGGCATGTTTCTATTAAAAAATGGCCCTTAGACATTTTTTTCCACTCAGTTTGGGCTAATTCCCCATAATAACATATAGATGGCCCAGTGGTACAAAAATCAGGGCTTTATACAGGAACTTTTAAATTATTCAATCATCATTGTAAGTCACTTATTCTTCATAAATTCTTGGTATTGGAAACTTGACAAAGCACCTTTTATTTCCTTTAGCATTACCCATTTTTCCTTTACATTTCTTTGCATTTTTGTTTATATTTCCTTCCTTTTCTTTAATTCTTTTTGCTCTAGATAATGTCATTATGGGAAGCCTTCAGGTACGTTCTCGGTTCTTCATTAATAATAATGAATACAATGTTGACTTTTTCTTAATGCCAGTAGAATGGTCCTTATGCAAAGTGAACATTAGTCATTATGCCTTGGATCTCATCCATATTTATAAAACCTTTATGGTTTCAATCACTATTTGGAGAGATAAAGATCATAAAAATATAAACAGAAGGGAGAGTTGCTTACTTATTTGCCATTGGTCAGCTAACAACGTGTGTGTGTGTGTGTGTGTGTGTGTGTGTGTGCATACACACACACACACACATACATAAATGTACTAAAGCTTGAACTCAGGATCTAGGCTCTGTCTCTTAGCTTTCTCACTCAAGACTGGTGCTCTACAACTTAAGCCACAGGTCTACCTCCAGATTTTTGATGATTAATTGGAGATAGGAGTCTCACGGACTTTCCTGCCTGAGCTGGTTTCAAACTGCAAACCTCAAATCTCAACCTCCTGAGCAGAGGTTACAGACATGATCCACCAGAACCCAGCTGGCCATAAACCTCTTTCAGCTTCAGTGTCTTCACATACAGAATGAAGATGGTCACTTACATCCTCTATTTGGTCATTAGGATCAAATAATAATGCAAGAACACATCATAGAGGAAAATGATAGTAGCTAAGATTGCTTCCAATGTACAGATAAGGAAGTAAATCTTATATGTATAAATGACTGAAGTAAAATCATACATGTACTTTAAAAAAAAAACCGAACCTAGCGAACTCGTCTGTCTCCAAAGGCAGTGTCCATTCTTAAAGGACCCAGTGCCACAGTGGAGCTATTTCCTTATATACAAAATGCCTGAATGGCTATGATTTTGGAGTTTTTCTTCTCTCCTAACAAACAGACTTGTCAATGTCATTGTTTATGAAAATAAATGAGTCTCCAGATCAACCACATTGAACTTGAACTAAGTAGAGTTTTCATCCTGTCCACACACCTAACTCTAGCCACTCCTTCCCCAATTAATATGTCTATCTCCACTAATATGGAAATATTAGATGCCAAGACATCTTAAATTATAGTCTGAAATTCAGTAAGTCAGGGCTGAGTATGTCAGCTGTAAAGAAAAGCAACACAGTCTGGTACAATACATGGTGATCCCTCCTGCCTTGCTAGCTCCCAGATGGGCTTCAAAGAGCTAAGACCACCAAAGAGTTGCTCCTAAAGCTGGAGGATGTCACAGATGATCAAATCTAAGTTCCCATGACATGAACTCCAATAAGAACCATTCAAGGTAACACTGCCAGTTAGTGGGATGAAAGCCAAGGTAACCTGAGCCCATGCCTTTACCCCCCGAAGAACATAAACCTCCCAAGATTTGTTCTCATGCTTGTGGATTATAAGAGCAGGCAGCTGGCATTTCTCTTCTCTGCAGGTCTACATAATGCCCATCTGACTTGGCAAAAATAGATTTCCAATTCTCAGGTGGATCTACACCACAGTCTTGAGCAATGCCCTATCTTACCTTACTTTACCTTATCTTCACAGGATGTGATATCACATGAGACAGAAGCCATGAGACAGAAGAAAAATTTTACATCTTTCTTTTTTTTGAGGGGGGGGGCACTTGGACTATGGCATTTACTAGGCAAGTGAGCTATCTCTTGAGCCATGTCTCCAGCTCCTTTGTGCATTAGTTTAGGGTAGGGTTTTTATTTATTCCCAGGCCAACCTGGGATGCAATCGTCCTACTGGTGATTCCCCATGTCACTGGGAAGGATAGCGATGTACTACCATGCCAACCCATATTGATTCCCCCTTAGCTGAGATAACAGGCTGGAACCATCCACCCACTGGTTGAGATGCTGTCTTACAAACTTCATTTTGCCCAGGCTACCTCAAACCTCAATCACTCAGCCTCCACCTCCCAATACAGGCTTGAGCTACTGGGACCAGTTATTACATTTCTAAGATGCCAGGCCCCATATGTAACTTGTGGGCAGGGATGGGAGGGGAAAACTGGGAGAATGAAAAGGAAGGGGTGACATTATTTTAAAAAGCAATAAGAAATGTACTTATTACCAGACTTAGGAATTACAATCCCTCTGTACAACACTTCAATGATAACAATACAATTATATTTTAACAGCCAGGTACTGGTAGCTCACACCTGTAATCATAGCTGCTCAGGAGGATGAGATCTGAGGATCACAGTTCAAAGTCAGCCCAGGCAGGAAATTCTATGCAACTCCTATCTCCAATTAACTACCAAAAAGCCAGAAATGGAGTTGTAGCTCATGTGATAGAGTGCTAGCCTTGAGCAAATAGGTCTCATGGACAGTGCCCAGGGCCTGAGTTCAAAAAGTCCAGAACCAGAATATTAAAATATATATATATTTTGAAAAAGATGGCAGGTTCCAGGCTCTTGCACAAGATCAGAGGCTCATCTGAAAAACAATTGATTTATCTCCTCTAAGAAAATTCCCTGCAGTGTGAGATAATACACACATAAATATAATAATATCTAAGTATGTATTACATATTATATAATATATTGTAGATATATTATACATATTACATATTATGTATTTATATAAATATTATTAGTTTTATATACTATATAATATATAATATATTATAGATATATTATATGTAATATATCATATTATGTGTATTTGTATAAGTATATAATAGTATTTATTATACTGTATAATTATATGCTATGCATAATATACAAATATATGCAAATATCTATAGTTTATATTTTAATATTGTATAGCATAAATATAATCATATGCAAATTATGATTTACATAATATATAAATATTATACATGACATATTAATATATAAATATTGCATATAATATATGTAATAATATATCATATAACATATATTATGTAATATATACCCCAGCATATATTATGTATCTTATATAATAGAAAGCATCTAGTTAGCATTTATATGCCACACAGTGTGCTCATTGTTTATATGGATACTATCATTTAATTCTCCCAATCACCATAGGAGGTAACCCTGTTCTTCCTGTTCTCTAGAGAAGAAAATGAACTATTGGTAAAATTACTTTCCCAGGTCTCAATGTCCCTAGTTTCTGTCTCCTGTTGCTGAGTAGCTAGTCCCTGCCCTTGCTTTAATTTGGGTCTCTGAGATGCTGGCCAGGCTGCAGGTCTCCTATCTGACCCACCCTGGCTTTCAATTAACACGAAGGTCCTCCATTGAAGCTGGGCAAGTAATAATGCAGATGTCTATTACAGAAACTCATCAGAGGGAGAAAGGTGTAATGAGAGGGTGCTCCCAGAAAAGATAAAGGCAGAAAAACCCTACTAAAATCAGGGAGATTTCATGAACTTCTTCTTGTGTGAGTCCTTTCTCACACATAGTCCTTTCAGGATATATCGAGATAACCAAACTGACTACATCTGATTAGACCAATTCATGCAGCAAATGACCAGATTCCTCTGGTCCTGTGTTTCAGAGTTCTCTAGCTAAATGTTTGAATGGCAAATCAAGCATTTCAGAGGTTCAGTAAATGGATACAATACCAAAATATCTCTTGCCTGGTTTGCAGGGCTTTCTTGAGGATCCACTGAGAAAAGTTCTGTGACCTCCAAAAATGTTCTATAAATGATATTCTGACTCCAACCCAGAACAGGAAAGTTTCCCTGCCTCTTGGCCAGCCGTGGGGATGGTGGGAGGTCATGGCGCTCACTGCTCATTAGAACAGGTGCTTCTGTCTTGCATCATTCCATGTGTGTCCACCTTGAGCCCATGTAGTGTTGGCAGACACCTGTCCCTCTCTTCCTAGGTCACTCCTGCTCAGTCTCCCATGTTTTCTATAGGACCTGGAAGATGTGCTCAAGAGTGAACTGAGTGGAAACTTTGAGAAGGCAGCCCTGGCTCTTCTGGACCATCCCAATGAGTATGCTGCCCGGCAGCTACAGAAGGCTATAAAGGGCATGGGCACAGATGAGGCCGTGCTCATTGAGATCCTGTGCACAAGAAGCAATAAGGTCAGTGCCCCATGAGCCCTCATACCAGGCCCTGAGGTCCAGTCCACTCACCCAGTAGAAAGAAAGCTACTCCATGCATTCTGCCCATGGTGAGCAGAAGTTGGGCAGAAATGTGCCTCCTTGACCTATGCAAGACAGACGTGTCTTCCAGAGGTCCATCTTTGTACTACCACTGGCTTGATACGTTCAGATCCTTCCAGAAGAGCTCTGTCAATCTAGGCATTTTTTCCTAACTGATGCCATTTTCTGTGCAGAAAGGGTAATTCTACTTGCCCTCTCTCACCAGACTCTGTGGCTCTTCTGCATGAATAATGTAACGAGTAGCCCAAGCATGTGGAGTTGGTATTAGTGTCTCACTGGTGGCTATTACCTAACATACAGTACAAAAAGTCTATAATGAGGCAGAGAAGTAGGTGGTGCCAGGGACCCCAGCAAACACCCCAGTGGCTTCCAGCACTGTCTGCATGACTATATGTCTTTCTATCAGCAGACTCCAAACCCTTGTTCCTTGGCCACATGCCAACCTGAAAAGAGCTCTGTTAAGACCCAGTAAAAGCCCATGTGTCTTCAGGGAGACCATAGAATTCAACAAGAGTGAACAGGGTCCACAATTCATCAATAGGAAGTCCTCCTTCTTCTATAACCACCCATCACAGCTGAGAGAGGAGGTCTGGGAAAGAAACTGCCAGAATAAAATCAACATTCTGCAGACTTCCCAGTAAAAAAAACCAGCAGCAAAGGTTAGAACAGACAGCAAAGACAACCTGAAGCAGCTCTCTGAGGTTAAATGGTTATGCAAAGCTCTTAGTGCTGGCTACCTGCTTGGCCCAGGCTAGGGCTCAGTTTACTTTGCCAAAGTCTTGCCATAACCCAAGCTCTCACTGAAAACCCAGCTCTCAGCATTCCTGATCTCATTCCCATGAAATAATAACACACACACACACACACACACACACACACACACACACACACACACACACAGTCTCAGGATAGTGCCTCAGATGAAGGTTTGCACAGACTCCAGAGACATCACTAAAGCTAAGACCCAGCTGACATCACACTACTTTTCCTTTCCCTAGCCCCCTCTTCCTAGAAGCAAGAAGTCTGATGTCATCACAACCTATCAATCAGATAGGTGTGCTGGCACAGAGAAGAGAGAAAAGCACTGGCTCTGACATGCATTTTGAGCTACTTGTGGGTGATGTGGGGGAAGCATCTGTCTTTCACACTGTGGGCTTAAGGGTAAACTACGGTGGCTTTGAGGTGAGCCACTTGGCACAAGACTTAAGATGCAAAACAATTCCCTGTCCTGGAAAGAAACTTTCTCTCCTGCCCACAGCAAGTTGTTTACTGAATGAAGCTGTTTGAAGCAGAGAAAAACTAGAAATCATCCAAGCCCCCTCAGCTGGCTAAACTGCAGCTTAGGGTAAAGGGTGGGGGCTGGGAAGGTGGCGCAGTGGTAGAGCGCTTGCCTTGCATGCATGAGGCCCTGGGTTCGATTCCTCAGCACCACATAAGCAAAAAGAAAAAAGCCAGAAGTGGTGCTGTGGCTCAAGTGATAGAGCGCTAGCCTTGAGCTGAAGAGCTGAGGGACAGCGCCCAGGCCCAGAGTTCAGGCCCCATGACCGGACCCAAAAAAAAAAAACTAGGTAGACCAGACATAGTGATCTGTGCCTTTAATCTCAGCCACTCAGGAGGTAAAGATTGAGAGGATCAAGGTTCCAGGCCAGCTAGCCAGAAAGTTAGCTAAGACTTGATCTCAACCCATAACTGTGCATGACAGCAGCCTGTCATTTGGGCTATGAGGGAAGTATGGGTTGAAGACTCACCATCTGAGGGAATCATGGGCAAAAAACATGAGACCCTATCTGAGAAATGACTAAAGCCAAAGGGCTAAGAGTATGACTCAAGTGGTAAAGCACTTGCCTAGTAAACATGAGGCCCTGAGTTCAAACCCCAGTACCACCGAAAAACAAACATTAGATGACTGACTGGATCTCCAACACAGTAGGGAATGAATATAGATGACACCTGACACATGCACAAAACAATTCTCTGTATTTCTTGCAGTAATGTACACATATACAAAGCAAAACAACATGCCTGCCAGGTACTAACACTTACGGCTATAGGGGAAAGGACTATGACCCAAAGAGGTGGTGGCAAGAGGTGTTCATTTAGCTGTAAGATTTTTCACTTCTTTTCCTTTTAACTGGCATGTAATAACTGTACACATGCACAGACTACAGCTTACATTGTGTACTGATCCAAATTGAATCGCTAGCACATACCATCACCTCAGATATTTACCGTATATTTCGGATACAAAAAATTAAAAATCTTCCCTTCCAACTATTTTGAAATAGATAAAATACATTATCATTTAATTATCTTTGGTCACTCCATTATGAAATCGCCTACTAGAACTTCCTCCTATCTTAACTGACATCAACATCTTCCCACCCCTCCCACCTCTATTCTCCCCAGGCTCTCTAACCACCACCATTCAATTTTCAACTCCGTGAACTTGTTTAGAGTCCACAAATTAGTGAGATCATGAGGGACTTGTTTATCCTGTGCCTGGCTCATTTTACTTACCTTAATACCCTCCAGGCTCAAGCATGCCATCACAAAAGACAGATTTCATCCTTTTTTATGGCTGAATAGTATTCTGTTGTATAAAATACACCACATTTTGTTTATGCACCCTTCCAGTGTTGGATCCCATAGGCTGGTTGCATTCTAAGGGTAATAGCTGCACTGTGAGGGTTCCTTCACATTTAGGGGCTTGCCTCCCCTTCCCCTGCTAGCACTCTGCCCTAGAAGGAGGACCAGCATCCCGTGTCTGGAGACATACTTCTCTCCCTTCTCCCTGTGCATCTGTGTCACCTACTGATTGGCCCTACTTGGGTACTGATTTCTTTTGCTTACCTTCCTAGGAAATCACCGCCATCAAAGAAGCCTACCAAAGGCGTAAGTGACCTACGGCTCTGGCTTTGGGTAAAGTGAGTTCCATTGGAAATGCCTCTAGAATCTGAATTGTCCACTTTCCCTCTCCCTTTTCTTTCTCCCAAGTCTTTAACACGAGTCTTGAAGCAGATGTCAAAGATGACACAAGTGGAAACCTAAGGAGGATCCTGGTGTCCCTGCTACAGGTGAGAGTATGACCCCAGCCCCCATTATGATCCTAGGAAATGAGCCCTAGAGACAACATCTTCAATTGCCGAGTGATGTGGCGCAAGTGGTCGAGTGCTTGCTTTGCATGCTCAAGGCCCTGAGTTCCATTCACAGCACCACCACAAAAACAAAACGGTGCTCAGGACTCAGCAATCCTGACTCCATCCACCCAGCAACTGGGAAACTATCTGATTAAGATTTCTCTTCTCCTAACCATCTGCCCAGATGAGTCAATTAATGATGTCTTTGGTGAATGCACTTACTCATCAAGCAAAATGGTTTCATTTAGCCAAGGAGCACAATCTGGTATCCAATGGATAATCTACTCAGGTATACACAGACTGAACTCTGTGAGACACAGAGCAAGAAGCAGAGTATCTGAAACCAGTAGGGCCCTGTCCACCCCTAGCTGTGCACCTACATCAGGATTTAGCCTAAGTGGCAGTTCGTTGCCATGTGGCCCCATGCCCAACACACAGCATGGCTGTTTAGTTTCTACCAAGTCAGAGAGCATCTCTCTGATTTCTTCCACCTCTGATCTTCAAGAGCTCACACCTGATTGGATCACATCCACCAACAATACATCCCTTTGGACTTTATTCACCCGAGTAGGTACCTGAATTACATCCCCACAAGAATTACAGCCCACAAAAATCCCCCGGCTGCCATCTGGCCTCACATGAACACAGGAGTGACATCTTCATTGCTTTCGCTCACATTCAAGGCAAGGGGATTATTGGAGGATGTAGTGCACTAGGGGGTCATCTTAGAATTCTGCCTACCACCCAGGGTGTACAGTGGCCCTCCATAACTACCCATGACCAACTTTTGAGCTCTTTGGCACTAGGTCCCTTAGTGGTGAAATTAGATATTTTGAAAGGGAAGGCACTTGCTTCCCAATAGACTCATCCTAGGAGATGTTGCAGGCTGCTGTCCCTATCTGAGGTCAGTAATGGGTTTGTGAATAATGTTAAAAGTGGGAGATGGGGGGGGGGAGAGAAGGGAGAGAAGAAGAAAGGGAGGAAGGGAAGGTGGGAGGAAGAGAGGAGGAGAGAGAGAGGAGGAGGAGAAAATGGAAGAGAGGAAGAAAGAGACAGAAGGAGAGGGAGAGAGAGGCAGAGGGAGGGACAAACAGGAAGAGGGAGAGAGGAGAGAGAAGAAAGGAGAGGAGGGAATAAGGGAGGGGAAGGAAGAAGGGAGAGGAGAGAGGGGAGGACAGAGGGGAAAGGGCGTGAAAGACAGGGAGAGGAGGAGGAGAGGGAAGGGCAAGAGAGAGGGAAGGGGGAGGGAAGAGGGGCAAGAGAAGGGGAGGAGAGGAGAGGGAAAAGCAGGGGAAAGGAGAGGAAGGGAGAGGAGAGGAGAAATTCACCAAAGCTACACTGTTTGCTCATGCCCAAAAGATGGCAGCAAAGAGCAGGTCTTGAAGTTCAGCCAGGCTCTACAGCTTCAGGCCATCTCTGGAATCTCTGGGGTTTCCAGGACTTTGTTTTCTGTGGTAAGCAGGACCTCGAGCTAATAACAATGTCTTGACTCTTCTAGGCTAATCGGGATGAAGGAGACGAAGTGGACAAAGATCTGGCTGGACAGGATGCCAAAGATTTGTATGATGTAAGTGTGCACATGTGCCAGTCTCCACAGAGCCTTTTCTTTCCCATTTATTGGCATTGTTTTCAACAAATGTTTCTTTATTTCATACAAATGGAAGTTATTAGGAAAGAAGTATGACCTTTAAGAAATCACTAGAAGCTTAGATTTGTTGTAGGCCATCTAGAAAGACTTGTTCCCATTCTTCTATTCTGGGATTTAACCACCTCAGATCCATATGGGGGCACAAGAAGGTATGCATAATACAAATAAGTATGTGGGTATGTGTAATGTAAATGATTATGGGACTTGTGGGTTAGAAGCTTACTGTGCTTGGCCAATTCACTTGACTTCTTTCTACTCAGTGTCTGTTTTATAATTTCCTGTAAGGGAGGCCTGGTTAAATCAATATTCCATTTCTTCCCCAAATTAAAAAGGAAATCATTTCCCATTGTTTGCATCTGTTCTTCAAGGCAGGGGAAGGCCGCTGGGGCACTGATGAACTTGCCTTCAATGAAGTTCTTGCCAGGAGGAACTACAAGCAGTTACGAGCCACCTTCCAAGCCTATCAGATTGTAAGTAGTGCACCCCCAAAACTGTCTTGTTGCTGCCAAAGGAAGTCAAGACCTGGCATGTCAAGACCTGGCGATCACTTATATCAGTGGTTCTCAGTGGGGAGATGAGGTGCCAGAGGCTATAGACATGATACTGTGTACAAGGCAGCCTCAGAGTGAAGAACTGTCCACTTGGGAGATTGAGGCGGATGCCTGGTTTACAGCGAGGCTGGGGAATTGGGAAAGCATCATGTTTGAGAACAAAGTTGTGATCACAAGATTGATTGCTTGTCATCATCGACAAGTATTGAGATGTCTCCATCCTCTCTTGTGAAACAGGGACTCTAATAAGCAGTGCTGGCTCAGGCCTGTAATCCTAACTACTCAGGAGCCTGAGATCTGAGGATCATGGTTCAAAGCCAGCTAAGGCAGACAAATCCAAGAGACTCTTGTCTTCAATGAACCAACAGAAAAGCCAGAAATGGAAGAATGATTGAAGTGGTGAGAGGTCCTGAGTTCAAGTCAAGTAGAAGCACACACACAAAAGAATTAAATAAGATTAAGGTTTAGCGGTGTATCAGACAAACGATACATATCCAAATGTTTGCTCTTCTTTTTTCTAATTCCTGTTTATGATCAGTCTAGCAGTGTGTGGTACTCTAAAGACACGCGAGCTATTTTGCAAAGGTAGGCTCCTGAAAAGACGTGCATGTTATCTTTAGTCTCATGATCATTTTAAGCCAACCAAGTGAGTTAGCTACTTCAAAATACTTAATGGGAAGTTCTTCCCAAAAGGCAATCTACAATTTGACAACAAAAACAAAACGCGTAAGTGGTGTTACCAAGTATTTTCCTTTTCCGTGCTTACCTATTTTCGCAGGTGTTTCCACCTATTCAAAACACCTCTATGCCCTGTGTGTCTCATTTCAGTTTCACAGTCTTAACTCTCATGCAGGCGGTACAACTCCGGGGCTCACAGCTGCTGGACAAAGCAAGCCTGCCTGCCGAGTAGGGCGCCATCTGTAACTTATCAGGACCACACAGCAAGTCGGTAGCAGAAGTAGAGGAAAACTCCAAGACTCCCCAGCCCAAGCTCCTGCCTCGGCTGGAACCAGCCTGTCCTCACTCCAAATAGGCTTTGCTATGTGTTGCCAGTAGATGAAAAGACAAAGCTTTGGAATTCTATCATTATTGTACATAAGCCTCCAGGCCCTCTCCTTTCAAATCGTGCCCAGCATCACGATCAAAGGCAGCTGACCTGGGTCTGTGCCTGAAGTCCATGGCTTCAGAGCTGGAGGACTTCTCCATGACCCAGGTCCTCTTCCCACATGATGGGGGCCAAGGGAAGAAGTTTTAAAAATGGCTGTCATTGGGGATCACCATAGAAACACCACACGCACGCACACACGCACACACACACACACACACACACACACACACACACACAACACACACACACACATCCCTGCATGAATTAGTGATTACCTGCAAGGACACTCTCTCAGCCAATTAATTCAAAGTTAATCTTCAAGCAGCAACAGCATTGTCACTGGAAGAAACTGTTAAAAATGAGACTTCCTAGTTCTTTCCTTTGTCCCACTGAACCACATACCTTGGAGTTCAGCTCTTAACATCTATCAGGCTTAACAAGTCTTCTAGATGATTCTGATGCATGTGGAAGTTTGAGAAGTCAGCTCAAACTTTCTGTAGAACCTTGGGCAAGTTTTGTTTTTGTTTTTGTTTGGTTGTTGTCATTGTTGCTGCTGCATGATTTATAAATTGTTATTGTAAAGGTGATATATAGGGGGGGTTAATGAATACATTTTGTTTTGAATAGTGTCACCTCTTCCCTCATTTTCTCCAGGTTTTCCTTTCTGACCCCTCCTCTTCCTTATAAGTCATATAGTTCATTTTCAACATAGTGTCTAGTGAGTATCACTGCTACATTTTCACCCTTAGCCTGGGCAGGTTTTCAAGGATCCTGTGCCTCAGCTTCCCAATTGTACCACTGGGCTCATACTACCTACTTGAATAGATTATTAGAATTAAATGAATTAACAGAAGTTAGCACTTACCTGGTATTCAGTAGGCACCCAATAAATATTAGTTACTGTTAATAATTTCCCTACATCAATCAACAAGTGCCAACAATCAGAGCAAATGGTATATATGGACAATTAGGTAATGTACATGTCGTTGATTAAGAGAATTAGCTCTAAAATGCTACCTATTGGACTGTTCTAAAAGCCTTGCTCAATTATTACTTATATTGATCTTCATTGTTGACGTAAAAAAAAAAGTTTACCCTTTTCAGTAAGCTATGGATGGTCTCTGATCAAATGGACAAAGACACAAGCAAGCTTGAGACTCTACATCTACACTAGGCTGCCCTAGTGTAGGGTTGAACTTTCATTTTTAGTCCTCTTGGCTTTAAGGTTTTACCCTTTATTTGGCTTCCAGTCCAAGCAACAGAGCCTCTCCAAAGTGCCACTTCTTGAAAGATTATGGCAGTCTCAAAGTTTACCACGCATGAAAACGTAGCAGGGCTCTGTAAACAGTATGTGCCTTACCCGCAGCCCAGTCTTGCTGTCTTCGCATTGGCTCCTCAGGACTTGGCTCCTCCCCTATGTGTGTCTCTAAGCTCATACAAGAGTTCTGGCCCTTTCACCGCTTGGAAAGCCAGCTGCATAGGGCACACTGTCAATGAAGGAACCGATCTTAAAAGAAAAGCAAGTCACCCTCATTTTTCTAGCCATTTCCCTATGAGCATTGCCACCCATTTAACCAGTCTTTGAGACTAGTTTAGAATCCATTTGAATAGTGTGGCTTTGTCCTGAGATCTGTAAACATGGTTCCATTCAAAGAGCTCAATGAGAATTAAGTGTTCCAGTAACTAAACTGAAAAGTTCTTGGAGAATGGCAATAGTTTGGGCCAGGCTATTGTTTTTAGACCACAGTCCATGAATTCTATGGGGAGCTTAGATAGCTACTGGAAAGGAGTGGGGCAGGACAAAAAAAAAGGCACTGTTATCTCTTTGTATTGTGTGAATAGAGCCCCCTGGAGGTGTGCACAGAAAAGCTCTGAGAGGCTAGAATATGGCTCTGATGCCTAGAGCTACTGTAAGAAATCCATCTCTTCAGACAGCTCTGCTTGTCAGTCTTTGTCTGTTTTGTAGGCTGGAAGTCTACAGAAAATTGCAAACTAGCTTTTATCCCAATATTAACAATAGAAACAAAGTGGTTTCATGGGAGGATTTTTCTAGTAAACACAGACATCCTCGTGAAATACAATCTCAGCCTGTAGAACAAGGGCCCTGTTTCTGGGGAAGTGATACCTGTCTCTTCCAAAAATACAAACTCCTACATCAAACCACAGAAAGGCGGGGGCAGCTAAGGACAACACAGGACTGTAGGCCTCCTTCCCCTTCTAATCTGGTTTGCATGGCTGCACAAAAACACCTCTGGACACATGTGGACAAAAGGCTAAGGATAGAGCAGCAGGTCCCTCTCCCCCTACATACACGGTGCTTACATCACAAAAAGCATGCTATTTACCTGTGTTTTTAAACTTTAAAAAAAAGATAAATTCCACTGGCATGCGTGCAAATGTCCAGGTTTTTTTTTACTTTTAAATTTTATCTTTAAGTAGTTGCACAAAGGAGTTGCCACTTAAAGCAGTGTATGAATATAATGCATCTTGATCTATGCTACCCCTTTCAACATTCTCACCCATTCCCTCCCTCTTCTTAATTTTTGTAAAATATACATTTAATTCTTTTTTAAATGTTATTTTATTGTAAAGCTAATGTACAGAAGGGTTACAGTTACTCAAGTAAGGTACATTTCTTGTTGAATATTGTTACCCACTCCATTGTTGCTCTCCCACTATCCCTTCCCAATTTTTTTTGATCAGTCATGGGGCTTGAACTCTGGGCCTGAGCATTGTCTCTGTGCTCTTCAGCTCAAGGCGAGTGCTCTACCACTTGAGCCACAGCACCACTTCCACATTTAATTCTTGACTGCATTCTCCACCTCTTCTCCTCTTGTCCCAGTTATTTATAGGCTTCATTTGTGTCCTATCCTCAAACAATCATTTCTAAGAAAGGGGCACACAGTGCTCAATCTTGACAGAATATTTTTTTCTCTATTTGCCTGCCCCGAGTTTAGCCCAAGCAGTATTTGTGTTAAGGATAGTCACAATTTACTGAAACTTTAGTTTCTGTAAATATTTGGAAAGAAACCTAATGTGTAATGCTGTGCAGAGCGATGTGTAAGCCGGTGGTGAATATCAGATTATTCACCATCACTTCAGAGTGAAGGAAAGAGGTATTTTGATGTGGTCAGCTCTTGGCTTCCAGCCCTTACCCACTCTACCAGAAACATCAGATCAAGTCCTTATCAGGGACTTCACTGCCTTCTACTCACTTCAGGCCAGCTCTCAGTGTCACAGTGCCTTCCTTGTCTCAAAACAAGGAAGACAAGAGAAGCAAAGAGCAGATGACTAACTACAGCCTCCTGAGAATGTGGAATGGAAGCCATGAAAAACACTTTGGAAACTAAGATGCTTTTATTGCTGGCGTGTATATTCATTGTTCCTCTACTCCCTCAATTAACAGATGAGGAAATTGAAACCCAGAGAATGCCATTAATTGGCACCAGTTCCATTGGGGGTCAACTTAGAACAACTGAGAATTAAACTAGCAATTAAGAATTAAAATGGCAACCACCAGTTCCTTATAGCCATAGCACTGACTGAAAGAATTAAACACTTTTTCTAAAGGAACAACCATGAGAACATCAAGGTCCAAAGCAAATCCTAGAGTAATGGCTAAACTTTGCTTGTCTCTCCAGCTCATCGGCAAAGACATGGAAGAAGCCATTGAAGAAGAGACATCGGGAGACCTGCAGAAGGCCTATTTAACTCTTGGTAAAATTAGGGGAGAGTGTCTGTGGTAGTTTCAGCTCCCTGGGACCATGCTCAGAGATGAAGCCCTGTCACAGAAGATTGTCAGAAAGTACTTTAGTATAAACACTTCTAACCACAGCAGGCAGGGAGACAGTGGGTGTGATATAGTTTTTCTTGCCCCAGGAGCTCTGAAACTGGGATGTCCAAAGGTGAGCAAAAGACTGCATCCTTGCATCCCATATTGACCAGGCATGTGTGCTAGCTGCCCACTAGCAACTGTGAGCAGCCAGTGGTCCTGCTGGAAAGAAGATTCTTGAGGAAGGATCCAGATATGAGCACTTAGCAAGCAATCCTGATAATGAGTGACTAAATCCTGAAGCAGGTGTCTGGGTGATGCATCCCAGTGCCGCTATTACCCCACTAAGATTGTGAATCACTGAGTGCAACTGTCAATAACCTGGGCCCATTGCCTAGCTTGGGTGTCAGTATAGAGTTCATATGGCACAGCCCTACAGTACCCACATTTAGGACCCCTAACAAACTTGGCGCATGCCTGATGGCCAGAGGGTTTCCTTTCCCATTAGATTCTCTTCAATATTTGCCAAGAATGAGATCTGTTTAGAAAAGGAAGGGAGAGAGACTAAATCTTGGCCATGCCAAGTGAACCCTTGAACCCTCTCTCCAGGTGTTGCCCAAAGGCAGGAAATAGCAGAGAGATGGGCATTGGGCCATGTCTGGCAAGCTGACTCTTTTTCTGCAAACCCTGGAAGGAAGGCATTGTCCATTGTGGGTGCTGAGGGCACCATCCCAAATGGCACAAGAATGGGGAGACACATCCCCAACTGAATAAGCAGCCTGGGAAGTTAAAATATGTGTGTCGGTTGCCAAATTCTTCCATTTCTTGGTGAGCCACCAGCACCCAGCACAACTTGATATTTTTTCCATCCACCTTCATTTTGCATTCAAGTTATGTACAGAGGCCTGCACATCCCGGGCATTACTTGTGACCCCCTTGGGCCCACATGAGTCTCACTATGGGTGATATACTCAGGGCTTCAGAGAGGGAGAACTCTCATCAAGGCCTACCTCTGAGGCTCCAAATCCTTGCTGCATTCAACATTCCAAAAACCAGGAAGATCCTAGAGCAGAGTAGGAAGATGGTGATCCTGCCATTTGATGATTTACCATTTGTTTAGCACCTGTCTGGCCCAGAGGTTATGTAGGAATAGGATCACAGGCAAGTAAGACCAAGTTCTTGCTCTTACAGTTAATGTTTCCAAAGGACACACACACACACACACACACACACAGATTAGACTACAGTGAAGAAAATAACAATAGAGCAAGGAGGCTATTAAGGAAGGAAAAAGCTAAGTGCTAGAGCTAGACATGGTGAACTACAGAAGATGGTAGACTCATGGTACCCAAAGTAAAATTAGAAAAGCCCCTCAAGATAATCCTTACCAATAACAAAATATGATTTTACAACTGTATTTTCTAGACATTTATCTTTTCATTCCCATTAACCTCATAATTTTACCAGTTACTTTCACAATAAGCTATCACTAAGTTACCACACAGCTAACATCTACAAGGAAAGGCTGAGACTGAACAAATTCTACCATGAGCAGCACTTCTCACTTAATGAGGTGCATGGAGCACCTGCTTCAAAATCTTCTGTTTACAACAGTTTCCTGAGCCCCGCCTCCAGATTTCTCCTGGAGAAACTAGGAATGGAATGGAGCCCAGGAAACTATACTTTTACAAGCTCCCCAAAGATGATCCTGTGCTCCCTGAAGTTTGAGAACCCCAATCTTTTGAAGGCAAGGAGGAAGGAGATAGAACATGCAATGATTACCCCTAGCTTCTACTCACCATATCTTCATATCTCCCCTAGCTATTTCTACCCTACTGTTGACAGATTCCTGCTGCTGCAACTACAGAGGTTGTGCCCAGGCAGAGATCAGCAACAGTAGAAAAGTGGAGAGCTTTTTCTTCAGGAAGAAGGAGTATCAGGAAAATCATATATAACGAACACGTTGACTTTGAGCAATGATTCTGGCATCAATTGGTGCTGCCTGGGGCAGGAAATCTTTATAGATGTCAAATAGTCTGGGGACTACAATAAGGCTCAAATATTCCTCCAAGTAGCACACATGGCCACCTCCAAAAGTTAGGAATTTGGGGATTGTTCTCAGGATAAAAAGATCAGAGGGCTTGTTGAGGTGGGTAATCCCAGCTACTCAAGAGGAAGAGGTAGGTGGATCTCTGTCTAAGACTGGCATAGGAAAAGCCTAAAACCCTATATGAGAAACAAACTAAAAATGTAAGTGATAGAGCACAGCACAAGGCCCTCCACACAATTCCTAACACTTCCAGAGAAACAGAAAAAGACACACACACACACACACACACACACACACACAGACCAGACACAGATGTGGGCTTTTTCACTAAAACGCTAGTGGCTGCTATGTGGCCTATGAAAGAATTAGTCTGACCCTCCTGCCTCCTCTTCTTTGCTTAGAAGCTTCCATCACACAGACAATTACCTAGAGAAAGACAAAAGAAAAAGGAATCCTGTTGCAGGCCATACTAAGTTTGCACATTCCATACTTAGGTTGGATGTATTACTTATTAATCCCTAACAACAACAAAAAATGGCAACCATTTGAATGAAAGAGTAAATGATCGACTCCTCTTAAGCCTTAGTCATGGTGGGTATATATGAGCCCAGTTCCTAAGTAGAAACAAGGCCCTGTTCGTTTGTGGCTAGAGCAAATCTAGAGGGCAAGGGGAATCTGATCCAAGGAATCTTCCAGAGTATATTCCACAACAGTGTGAAGTCAGCTCCTTCCAAACTTCTGCTGTATAAATCCATCCACTCCCATGGTAGTCAGGTGACGCTCTGGTCCCTGTGGGCCTTTGGAGGGGTCATGTGTTACTCATCAAACCATGAAGACTTCACATTTCCCTTTTTGTTTTTAAATCCTGCCCAGTGAGATCTGCCCAGGACCTGCAGGGCTATTTTGCTGACTGTCTGTACAAGTCTATGAAGGGTATGGGGACCGATGAGGAGACATTGATCCGCATCATTGTGACCAGGGCTGAGGTAAGACACATTGGACTTCGAAGTGGTGGCCAACATCTCTTGTTTTCTACTACGGATGTCACTGACACGTAGGTTTTGTGGAAGGCCTCTTGACAGAAAAAGTAAAACACAGAGAGACCCTTTCTTTGCCTTCCCTACAGATTCCCAGAATTTGTAGAAGACCTTGACCTCTGCTTCAACCTATCTTTCTTTAAGAAAAATACAATAACGCTAGTGGTTGCTATGCTTGGAGAAGTGATTGCACTGTGCCGAGGGGACCTTGTGGAGAGTTCAGGGGGAGTTCTGGAGCTCCATTTCAGGAGAAACCAGAGATGCTGGTAGAGGTGGCCTGGCATCAGAGGCCAAGGAGCAAATGCTTCCTCATTCCTGAGCAATGCTTTTATTTAATCGAACACACCTTACATGGTTTCATCCAAGATGCACATCAGCATAACAGAATGAGCCTCCACCTTCTTTTATCATTATCCCTCCCCCCTCCCAGGAGCCTGCAGACACACTAATTGTCACACACCCACCAAAGAAAGAGTTCTTAATACCATAGATTATACCACATAGCTAGTTATGTGCTTTGTGAATGTCAACACTTGGTACATTAAAAGATTGAATATTTTTGCCTCCTCAAAACAAATTTTCACCCCTTCACAGAGGAGAAAGTATGTCTAAGGAAGGGGGACAAAAATTAACATGGTGCTGGTGGCTCATGCTTGTATTCCCTAACTACTTAGAAGTCTGAGATCTGAGGATTGCAGTTCAAAGCCAGCGTGGGCAGGAAAGTCTATGAGACTCTTATCTCCAATTACCAACCAAATGGCCAGAAATAGAGCTGTCGTTCTAATGGTTAATGTGCCAACTTTGAGAAAAAAAAAAAATCTAAGCGTCTAAGCCCTGAGTTCAAGCCCCAGGACTGGCACAAAAAATAAAGAAAAGAAAAATGACAAGCTGAACGTTTGAACCCAGCTAATATTGGGGGACATAGGGCCACCTACAGAAGGAAACACAAAAGAGAGGGGAAATGGCGCGTCATCTGCAGTAGGAAAAGATTTAGAGACTGAAGTGGAAGGAACATTGGCTGGGAGGGGCACCAACCCACATTCTGATCCTTGCCTTCTGACAAACACATCTGACATTGCTTTAAAATAGAACCTCGCAGCAAGACAGTTCTTTCATTTTTAGTTCTATTCCTGGAATTCCCTCTCCTCCCCCTCCCCCTCCTCCTCCTCCTCCCTCCCCTCCTCCTCCTCCCCCTCCTCCTCCTCCTTCCTCTCCCCCTCCTCCTCCCTCCCCTCCTCCTCCTCCCCCTCCTCCTCCTCCTTCCTCTCCCCCTCCTCCTCCTCCTTCCTCTCCCCCTCTTCCCTCTCCTCCTCCTCCTCCTCCCCCTCCCCCTCCCCCTCCTCCTCCTCCCCTCCTCCTCCTCCCCCTCCTCCTCCTCCTCCCCCTCCCCCTCCTCCTCCTCCTCCCTCCCCTCCTTCCTCTCCCCCTCCTCCTCCCCCTCCTTCTCCTCCCCCTCCCCCTCCTCCTCCTCCTCCCTCCCCTCCTTCCTCTCCCCCTCCTCCTCCCCCTCCTTCTCCTCCTCCCTCCCCTCCTCCCCCTCCCCCTCCTTCTCCTCCTCCCCCTCCCCCTCCTCCTTCTCCCCCTCCTCCTCCTCCTTCCTCTCCCCCTCCTCCTCCCTCCCCTCCTCCTCCTCCCCCTCCTCCTCCTCCTTCCTCTCCCCCTCCTCCTCCTCCTTCCTCTCCCCCTCTTCCCTCTCCTCCTCCTCCTCCTCCCCCTCCCCCTCCTCCTCCTCCTCCCTCTCCTCCTCCTCCTCCCCCTCCTCCTCCTCCTTCCTCTCCCCCTCCTCCTCCCTCCCCTCCTCCTCCTCCCCCTCCTCCTCCTCCTTCCTCTCCCCCTCCTCCTCCCCCTCCTCCTCCTCCTTCCTCTCCCCCTCCTCCTCCTCCTTCCTCTCCCCCTCCTCCTCCTCCTCCCCCTCCCCCTCCTCCTCCCCCTCCTCCTCCTCCTCCCCCTCCTCCTCCTCCTTCCTCTCCCCCTCCTCCTCCCTCCCCTCCTCCTCCTCCCTCTCCCCCTCCCCCTCCTCCTCCCCCTCCCCCTCCTCCTCCCCCTCCCCCTCCCCCTCCAATTCATCTCTCTCCCTTACTCTCAAAGCCTATTTCTCTCTCTCCTCCCTGGCCCTCTCACCTATCCCAGCAGCCTCTCTGCTGCTCTCCTGAAATTCTCTCACTGTTCACTGTTACTCCCTGCTCTGAATTTCTGTCCTCTTTCTCTCTAGATATTTGCCTTCTCTGGCTCTCTGAACAAACAACCTCTCAGCCCAAATCGCCAATCAGTAGGTCTTGAGGGACTCAGTGTTCCAAAGACCCTCCCACCTCAGTAGATCAGATCTATCCAGCGGGCTTGACAGAGTTCCCTGTTTGTACCAGCTGACCTCATCCCCCCTCCCCCCCCCCCCAACACGTGAACAACTTCCTTACAATATGGCATCCCTTAGTCCCACTAAGCCACACATACTAGAACAAGAGACCCACATCTTGCTCCTTCCCTAGCACTGGACAAGATGGCAGACCCTACCACCTGCTTTTAGCAGTCACTCGCCACTTCATTCTGCCACTCTTCCACCTCGACCTTCCCCTCCCCCTGTCTGTCTCTGTCTCTCTGTCTCTGTCTCTGTCCTTTCCTCTCTTTCCTCCTCCACCTCTAACTGACACTGCAGAAGAAAGAGCCAGATACCTGAGCCCCCAATTTTTTGAACTTGAAGTACAATGTAGGGTCTAAACAAAAATTCCAAAAAAAAAGGAAGAAAGAGAAGAAAGGCAGAAAAATGAAATGAATGCAAACTCTTTGCTTCTTTTACAAGATTCATTTTGTTCAGTCTGAAATTACATCTTTTCTGGTGCCAAGTGTAATCACCCTCCCTCACAAATAATCTTTTCATCTGTTTTTCCAACCCCACCACTAGCACCTAGATTTTTAAGCTTCTAAAGCATTAGATTAAAAAAAGAATTAGATTCAAAATAAAACTTACAACTGAGTAATGATTTTGTTGATTAGAACTAATATTCTTGCTGATCGGGGTTCAAAGGAAAAACATTCTGACTTTCATAGGAATAACGTTCTTAATCTTCTCCCAAGGATTAGTAAGCTATGGCTTGTACATAGTCCTGTTATCCAAGAATGACTCATTTTAAAATAACTATTAAAAACTCATATGAAAACTAATATTTTGTAGCACATACAAATCATATGAATTTAAGTTTCTGTAAGTAGAGTTTTGGTGGAATACACACATACACACACACACATTTTTCCATCCACAAGAGAATGAGCTTGTATTTCTTTTCTTCATCCACACAATGAGGCGATGCTAACCCTGCCTCCAAGGGCCATTAAAGGAATACCTGTGTGAATAAGCACAACAGTTTGGGCAAGCACGGATGCCGTCCAATGTGAACACAAGATCCATGCTGTTGTCATCTTCCTTACAGGTGGACCTGCAAGGCATAAAAGCCAAGTTCCAGGAGAAGTATCAGAAGTCTCTCTCTGACATGGTTCACGCAGATACTTCTGGAGATTTCCAGAAACTGCTGGTGGCCCTCTTACACTGAGCTAAGCCAGAGCAACAGGAGCACAGAAAGAAGCCACCTTCATCAAGAGCACAATCAGAACCAAACATACAAATGGCACTCTAGCGTGAAAACCCTTGGAATCCTGGTTTATTTTTGTTGCAGCTTAAGTGCTACAGAAAGGCCAGATTGTTAAAGTTGCAGGCAGCAACTTCAAGATGCTTGAGCAGCTCACCTTGAATGCTGGCTTAGCAAGAACCTGCACTGCCCTTTCAACCTTCCTTTAGCATGGTAATTGAATGCTTTCTAGGCACAAAGGAAGTTGTGCTTAGATAGAGCACAATGCATTTGTAATAAATCTATGCATTTGTAACCAATATGAATTGCCTAAGGGTAAGTGTGATCCTGGTAATGTTTAAGTGATTAAGGTACAGGGAAGACAAAATAAACCTGTTGGCTAACTTTTCTTCTGTGTGTTCAATTTCAAGGCATCAATGTCAATTAAAGTTGTGGATTATGCCCCTATCAGCTGCTTCACAAAACTGGCTTCGTTAGTTTAGGTTCTCACCTAGGAAATATAGGACTTTTGAAATTCAAATGCACTTGGAGAATGTGAACTGGTATATTTATGACCAATCACCAAAAACGGTAATCAAAGCTGGCAGCAAAGAGTCAACTTGCCCGGCTGAATGTAACTAGAGGTAAAATTTGCTAACTGCTGCCTGGTTTCATTGAGCTTTCTTGTATAGACATTTGACTTACTTGAGTCTTCATCTGATCTTCAAATACAATTAGTCTGAGCAAAGTGCCAATAAGATCAAGATCAATGCTTTTACTTCAAGTGCATTGGTTCTGCACGAATAGAATCTCTATTCCAAGACAATGGTTTCTTAGTCACATGGAGCTACACATAGAAGGATGAGTTAAAAGAACCTTGACAAATTGGTTCAGTAATCATAGCTATCTTTAAAAAAAACTTTTTATTGTTATTTAGAGGTGATATACAGAGGGGTTAAAGTTACTTAAGTCAGGTAAAGAGTGCATTTCTTTTTGGTGAATGTTATCTCTTCCCTCACTCTCTCTCAGTTTCCCATTCCTGCCCACGAACTGTATAGTTCCCTTTCAACATAGTATCTAGTGAGTACCACCACAGCATTTGCTCACCCTTTGTCCCTCCATTTCTGCGCCTCCCAATACTCTCCAGAGAAAGACAAATGAACAAACGAGACAAAATAGAAGAAGAACCACAAGACAAAAAGAAAAGAAAAACCACAACAAAGACGAGAATTTCTTGTTCATAGCTATTTTTATTGCAGGAGTATTTTTAGATGATACTGCTAAGTAGAATAATTTTATACTTAATATTCCCATAGCTCTATGAAGTTATCAGTTGGAGAAAACTGAGACATTGAGTAACCTGCCTAAATTCTTTTTTTTTCTTTTTTAATGTGTTTTTATTGTAAAAATACTGTACAGAAAGATTACAGTTCCTAAATTCTTTTATAGACACACTCCAGTAACCTACTTCTTTCCCCTAGTCCCTATTTCCTAATAGCCCATTCTGCTGTGAACTGATAACTGGCTAACCTATTAATGAGGTTAGCACTCATGATCCAGTCACTTCTCAACGATGCCACCAACTGGCATCTAAGCCTTCAATATATGAGCCTTTGGGTCCATCTTGTATCCAAACCTAACCGAGTACATGAAGGGCTACCCATGTGCAAGAAGAGGGAGCAGAGAGCTCTGCCTACAGGAATCTGTAGAGTGTGTCACATCAATGCCTTTACACCGAGTTTTAAACAATGCCTAGAAGCTCTTCAGGGAAATAAAGGCCTGGAAACAACAAAGGGCAGAATGTGCTCAGAATGAGATAAAGGCTCCACCATCTCTACCTGGCCACACTAGCGGGCAAGCTTCTAATACATGAGCTGTTGTGGGCCAAGCCACACCATGTCCACACTCAGAGACTTTCATTTGTCTTTTGAAATTATTTATGATCTGTCCTATTTTCTTTGTGGATGGTAGAATTTGTACCTAGAAAGAGCAGGCCTTTGTTGAATGGTCTTCGGACTTCAGCTCCCAGGTACCCAAGAAATTGACCTTTGGCTTAAAGAGAATGCTTCATGGATTTTTATTTTAACACTAAACCAACAATACTGGTGTCTTCTGTTCCTACAACCACCAACATGCCAGTGAGTTCACAATGTATTCAGTAACAATGATCCCATGCAAGGGAAAAGGGAAAGAGAATCTGAGAAATATGAGTGTGAACTGGAGAAACCAAGGAAGCCAGTGGGACTGGAGCCAGTCCCCGGAGGGTGCATGATGGACAGGCCTCTTCCCCACCAAACATACCCATGGTTGGGAGGGATCATCTGTCCTGTGAGAAAAGTTACTTATTGGCACTGGCTGCTTCCTCAGTAGTGTGTTGACCATCCTCAGCCTCCTAAGAATGAGTTTGTGGAGTTCCTGTTAATGAATTTTCTTGGTCCTTAGAAAGTGGAATCATGGGATTGTTTAGAACAAGGACAGTTCAGGACAAAAGAAACCTGAGGCAATGTTAGACTCTGTGCTAGAAGACAAAAAAGCTCTAGTTGTGAACTATTCCTCCCTGTGAATAATGTCAACCAGGTTAATATGACTCACAGACCAAAGTGGACGACACTAATTGTCTGAACTTTGAACCCAACCCAAGAATTATTTTCTTTTTTTATTGCCCTGAAAGCAAAATCAAAGTTGTTGTTTTTAAAATTCTACTGAACCAGTTCAAATTAGAACCAGTCTTTGGAAAATGTTGAGCCAAGAGAAAAGAATCAGAAAATCATTTCCATACAAGTATCCTATTCATTTCAAGTGCTGGCACACACAAACATGTACCATATATCTGGATTTGTATCAGCAGAACTTCTCTGGATTGAATCTCATCGATTTCCCAGATTAACCAGCATTCCCTTGCTTCTCCTGCAAAGCCTGTTGGGTCTCAGATTGGGACTAGGAAGGAGTTTCCCTCTCTTCTGGTGGATCATACACTTAGCAGGTTGTGTTTGCAACCGTCATAAAGTGAGCCTTCAATAAGCAGAGAAACTGTAAGTACAAACAACTATGTTTCTGTGAAAGCCAAATTGAATGCTTTGGAAATACTAGAGAAAATTGGGTTGCATTTAGGAAAAGAAGAAGAATGTTCATTTGTAACTTCCTCTTCAAGAAAAGTTCTCATTAAATTGCTGTTCATTTACATATAAAAGTTAAATTTAATGATGGTTGATTTATTTCAATGATGCTGTGCTTCAGGGTTGGCCTACTACATGGGTCAGATAGGAGAGTTTCTATTGGGATCACTTTTCTTCTTCCTTCCAAAACACTATTTTATTCTATGATTGCCACTCAGGTTTCTCTTCCGTTCAAAGGCTTGCATGGTTCTGGTTTTGCCTCCCATTTCCTTCTATCCTAGCTCTCACTGGGATGAATAAAAACAGAGGCCAAAACTGAAAAAGGCCCCACTGCTCTGCCACTGGCTGTTCCCTTGAGCTTGACCTTCTGAGATGTAACTTCCTCATCCATAAATGGGGAGGATAACATTCTAGAACTCCCTAACTTAAGAATCCAAAGCAAAAGGGTCTTCAGAGATGAAATTGATAATATTTAGGGGGTAAAGAGGGCAACTCACTCAGCTACCAACTGGTGATTTTAGGAGCCACTTACATAAGATTGTGAGCTTACCAGTAAGATCAACCCAATTTATGGGCAGGAAGATAGTCTAGCCTTACCTTGTAGGATTCTTGTGTAGACTAAGTGAGGAAAAAGTCCTGGGAGCACAGATGTGAACACAGGCCAAGAGTTTGCTATGCATTAGTATTCTGGAATTACCTGATCTTGGTGTATTAGGAACTGGGCCCAAGGAGCCATGAGACCAAAGAAAGAGAAGTAGACAAATCTAGGATTGCACAGGGTACAATTGATTGCTCCTGAACAGCATCAAGACCAGTGGATCATCAATTTGGGTTAGAAAGAGGGACCTTCATCCTGGCTAAAATTGACCTTGTTTATCTTAAGGCAACATTGACAATTTAGGCATATCCTTGGAGAAAGGGTCCTGTTGTAATGCTCTACCCATGACCATAATGGTTTTATCTATAGTTTGTTGGGAAACTATGCATGGAAAATGAAACCCCAGCTAGTGTTACTCAGGAGGTAATCATGACAGGATTCAAGATGGCTTCACTCATGTCAATCTGAATCCATTCAGTCAGCTATTCTGTAGTTTGATCAAGTTACCCATTCCTCTGTGCTTGGTGGTCAACCCTGAAATGGGATCATGAACCTATCTACTGTCTGAAGGGGAAAACCGTAAGGTGAGGATGTGAGATAGATTTAGATCCCCGCTTTTTCCCTCCTGGACTGAAATGAGAGACCAGATTGGCCTAGCCCACCTCCAGTCACCTCCTCCCTCACGGCTATTTTCCACTTCACATTCCTTGGCCTATCTGTGCACCTGGCCTCCAAAGAAGGGTTTGCCACTCTCTGATCTCAAGCCATTATGAGAAAGAGCTGCACAGTCAACATCCCACATTAAACATGCCTAACACCAAACTCTTGATTCCCCCCTACACACACCCACAAAACCAGTTTCTCCCCCTGCCTTCCCAATCTCAGTCATCCCCATCATCTACCCAGGTGCTTAGATCAGTAATTAGGAATCATCTTTGACTCTTCTCTTCCCTCAGTCTCCAATGACCATGTATCCATTCTTCCAAACATCTTATGGTTTCTGTGTTTCGTCTCCTCCAGAGTAGTTGTAATCATAGAGATGATCCCTGTCCTTTGGAGACGTCTTAAAGCCAGTGTACCCCCCACAGGAGCTTTATAACTGGGCTCTCTGCTTCTCCATGTACTTTGACTTACTCTCCCTCTGGAATGGCTACTCTCCCCTTACTCACCAGGCACCAGAATCCTGGGCTTTTTCCTGCTACTCAAATGTGACATCTCTATTCCTGCCGTAGGACCTCTAAACTTGTAGTTCCTTCTGCCTAGAACACCTTCCTCCCCAGGCAGCCCCACAATCTAATCTCAGCACATCAGTCACTTTCTCCAGGGTTCATGCTGCAAGCCTGTCCTGTCCCACCCCCTCACCGCCCTCAGAACACAAGCACTCCCCTTATCATTAGTCCGTATTATCTTCACAGTAACCACTGTCTAAAGTTATCTCACTAATCCATTGTCTACCCCACACCACTATTAGAATATGAGTTCTAGGAGGCCAGATGCTTGTTTCCACCACTGTAACCCCAACATTCAAAAACAGGCATGCAGGTAGTACTCAATGAAATGTATTTGGACACATGAATACCTAATACCGTGTTCTTCCTCGCTTTCTTGAGTCAGCATTATCCCCTGA